TTTCTGAAATCCGGAAAGGATGGAGTATATCTTCATTGGTCTTCTGGCAGATGACATTAGAGAAGCAAGCAAGGAATTTAGTAGTATTTCCTTTTCACATATTAGACGTTCTTTGAACAGGGTTGCTCATACTCTAGCTAGAGTGGCCGGTTCTAAGTCTGAAAGTCGGTTTTGGTTGACGATTCCTCCCTCTTTTATTGTTGATGTATTGAACAATGATCTGATTAATAATAATTAATTCATTTCCCTTCAAAAAAAATATTGAGGATACAGTATAGTTGGTTACAAATTTAAATACACTAGGTAATTGTAACGCAATGGATTCGATTATTGCTAATTTTGCTGCAATATTCCCGTGCGTGCATCGCACGGGTACAATACTAGTTTTAAGTAAATAACAGCTTAAATTAACTTAAGTAAATAAGCCCAAACTTCAAGGAAACACGTTATTACAACTTTCGACTATCTATATTGTGTTAGTTTAGAGATGAAATTGAGCTTGAGCTAAGATAACTTTACGTGAAAAATTCATTTTAGGGCTCTTCAACGTTTATTTCAATATTTAAATATTTGATGATATTTTATACAAACTTATATTAAAGTCCAGGTAAGAGCTACTATACGTTCTAAATTTTAATTCATATCATGTTTAATCATGTATTTTTGAATGTTTTAAATGAATTTCAATATTGTATTTAATATTATTGCATTTGTATTACATACGTAATAATATGCTACTTCGTATGTTTTTTCCCACCTCACCCTACTGTATGAGGTTTTTTGGTAGGCTTCAAACCTGATAACGAGCTGTTTACTTAAAGCTTTTTTGTTGACAATTGTTTACTTAGAGTTAAGAGTTACTAGTATCGTGAAATGCATTACTTCGTACAAGACATGATGTTTAAATAATCGAACTGAATGACCGTTCAGTTTAATATTTTAAATCTGGTCTAGGATTTGAAACGGCAAAATAAATACGTTTAAATAAAATAAAAAAACACTTCCATAGTTCCATCTTCACAAAATTCACGGTTTTACCACAATTTAGTTAAGAGCTAGGCACAAATATTGCTTTACTGAGGAAGGAACGCTCTCACTAATCTTATTTATTACCCATTCTTGATTTGGTCTTAAGAAGAGTTCAAAGATTTGCCAATGTCCAGAACAAATCTGTATCTCACATCAGATTTCAGCAGGCGGTCCAGCGCTGTGTTAACATAGTCCATAGGAACGACCTCCACATCAGGAGTTATGTTGTGCTTTGCAGAGAAATCTAACATTTCCTGCGTCTCCTTTATCCCTCCAATGCAGCTCCCAGCTATTAGCTTTCTACCTGTTTCAGACATCACATTACCTATTGGTTAACTTCAACACATAGCTAGGAACCAAATCAAGTATGTATCTCAAAGTTAAGTTTATTAATGATAAAGAAACTCATGCACACATATATACCCATAATTAGTGGGAAAACAGGCAGATCGAGTGGTTTTTCAGGTGCGCCAACCATGACCATCTTCCCGTTGGATTTCAACAAGCCAAGCAATGGCAAAAGAGAATGTACTGCAGAAACCGTGTTTATAATGCCATCCAACGTGTTCGTTCCCGCCTACAAATTTATCAGTAGAAACAACACCAATTAGATCGCAAACTTAAGATTTCGAATTTCATTCTCAACCAATCAACCTGATAGGACAAGGGGGTATGAATGTATGATAGAACGTGATAGGACCACATTCACATCCAAAATGAAAAACCATCAAGCTAATTATATGTGAAAGTCCTAAATGGGATCTCACCTTGAGTTGCTCAGGATCACGGCTAACCAAGAACGCATCGGCACCCAATAGGTCAATAGCTTCCTGCTTCTTACTAAGGGAAGTGCTAATAACAGTCACCTTTGAGCCAAAAGCTTTTGCATACTTAACAGCCATATGGCCAAGCCCACCCAGACCAACAACACCAATGTGCATCCCAGGCTTGTCAAGTCCAAAGTATTTCAACGGGCTATAGGTGGTTATTCCAGCACAGAGCAGAGGAGCGGCTTCCATAGGCAGGCTGTCGGGCCAGCGAACCACGAAGTGCTCATCTGCGACCATGATGTCGGAGTAACCACCGTACGTGGTGGTTCCAAAAGCATTATAAGTTTGCACCTGTTTGGGGCAGTAATTCTCAAGATCGCTCGCACAGTTGTCACAATTACGGCAGGAACCCACTAAGCATCCCACACCCACTTTGTCCCCAACCTTGAACTTCTCTACCTTGCTGCCTACCTCAGTCACCACACCCACAATTTCGTGTCTGTTTCGTTTTAAAAAAACCGATCAGCATATAACTAGAACAAATTTTAAAATTAGGTGAGTTTTTTGTTCCAAACATTGAATGAGTCATATTTTATGAAACAAATAATGGTTTTTCTATACAAAGAAATGGGTTATTTTTTATTTACTCATTTTAGAAATTTTCTCTTTAATGCATGGTTAAATGGATGAGAAGTGAAAATCCACAATTGTTTCTTGATTTTATATCAGGAAACAACATTACAAATAAAACTAGATCAAATAGACGGATCACATTATTTTACACTCCATAACTAGATTAAAACATTACAAACACTTCGGCTTCTGCTCCCCGAAGGAGTATACCGAAATAGATGAATAGAATGTGTTTGCTGGAGATCTCATATTATATGACTGAGAAGTTGCAATCAGAAGAAGACAAGTAATAAAAAAGTCGGAAATAAGATGAGAATCATATGTATGTAAATACCCACCCAGGAACAATGGGATACTGAGTGAAGCCCCATTCATTTTTGAGCTGATGGAGATCCGAGTGACAGATGCCGCAGTACAGAACCTTGAATTGCACATCCTTCTCGCCCGTCGCTCTGATAAATATACAAACCCATCGATCATCAATTCCACAGAATATATAGCAATTCAAGCTAATTACATCCTATTCCTATTCCTGCCTGATTCATCATGCATTCTAATAAGAAAGTATATACGTACGAACCTCCTTGAAAACTTGAAAGGGGAAAGAACCCCAGAGGTGTCCCTTGCTGCATATCCAAAGGCTTTCACTGGGTGCTCTTCCTCATATGATTTCGCCATTCTCAGTTATCACAATGTATGTACGAGCGTGATCAAACTCCGTAATAAACTGAAGCTCGATCAATACACCTATATAATAACTCTTGTGATAATCAGTTATGATTGATGAGATCCATGGTACGTTTTATTTGGCTAATGATCGACAACCCAATCGTGTCTAGATCCTTCCACGTCCCAACTACATTTCCAGAATTTTCCCAACTACCATATTTATTGCCTTAGCTGCAATAAATAGTGTAAGAGCCTAAGAGGGGATAATCTGTCACCTTATTAATCGAATCAAAAATCAAAAACTATATAAAAAGATAACACTACCAAAAAAAACACGCGATTGGAAGAAATTTTTGGCAAAAAATTTTCAAATTTAACAGGGATTTTAATAGGGATATACCAAAGTTGTGCTAAAAACAGTTTGACTTGAGCTATTTGCCATGAAAAATATCGATAAATCAGTGTTAATCCCGTATTTTTTTGTAATGTAAGTACCGTGGAAAATCAAATAGAAAATTATATGCCAACCATATAGAAATTTTAGTTATATTAAGGTATAAATATGTTTTTATACTTTGCAATTATAGTACATTTTCTTTTACATCTCTATAAAAATATTTTTTTGTTTTTCATCCGTGCAGCTTATATGATGTTTTTTTTATTGCATTACTGGTGCTAACAACCTCCGTTTGACCTCAAAATAGTTCCAATTCATATATTTTCTCTAATTTTGTGTCATGTTATTCAAAATGTATTTAATTTTATTTTTTAGAAGGTTTTTAATATATATTGTTAAAATGTGAAATACTTAGATTTACATGGTTTTAACTCTCATATTAGTCTAAAAAATATAAAAATGAAAATTAAATATTTTTAAAAGATTTATGTAACTGGTAATAACTTTTTTTAAGTAGAGATTTTTCTAATGCAAGTGATGGATTAAAAACAAAACAATACATATTGAAGGGATGAAAAAAAATTGCAAAGACCTGAAGTCATATTTACAGGGATTAAAAACGTATTTGAGCCTTATATTAATTATGAAATTAATATATACTATGTACATGATTATATATATCGTAAATACTAGATATAATAAGTTTTACTTTATCATGTTCATCAAATTTTTTCACCCGGTTCTGGAACCAATTGAAAGACTCAAAGTATGGTCCGAACCCGAAACTAGTACAGCCCAAATAGAGTACCTGGTCCCGGGTATAGGAAAGTTGGGACCGAAACCGGTCGGTCCCAACAGTTAATTTGACTAACTCTTTTCCTTTCCCAACGGCTAATGTGACTAATTCTTTTCATTTTGCTCTATTGGTTGAGAACCCAACGGTTCTTTTGAAACTCTTCACTCTGAAAAATAATTTAAAGAAACGAAGACCGAACCACCTAGTCATTGGCCGGACTAGACAGAGATCGCCCGTTCTTCTATCGGATCGGACCGTCCACCGGGTCAATTTTTACTATCAAACTTTTTAAAATCATTTTTTTTAAATCACTTTTTTAAAAAATAAGTAAACACTCCTTAGGTAGATTCGTATAATTTATGAGGCCGTTTGACAACACTGTTTTTCGACTTATCGGACATATCAGCCAACTTTTTCACCAAACACGTAATTTTTGCTTAGGCGCGCTGAATTGTGTAATAAGTAGAAAAAGTAAAGTTGGAGTTTCTTTTCTGGCTGTATTGGCTGAAATTACTATATATGACTATTTTAGCTATTTTTACATAGAATTTTTTCTTTATTTTATTAATAAAATATATTTTAAAAATAATTTTTTGTAAAAATCGTCTGCCTTGTATTGTCGTACGTTTAATCTAGGATTCATAAAATCTACAATTACTTAAAAGCCCACTTTTTTTAATAGGTCAGCCCAAATTTGATACGAGATGTTTTAAGTTCACACATCAGGGATAGAAGATCTCTTTCTTAACCATGTTCTCGGCTTCTACGTTTCATTCGCAGATAACACCAGTGTCCAGAGAAACGCCGACCTTCTCCAGACAGAGCTAGTAAACCCATAAATCTATCATCACCTTCGCCTAGGTATTTCCTCTGATTCTATACGGTTTTGATAAAACTGATCGCATCGATTCATTTGTTGTACGCCTTATCTCCTGCTCGCCTCTTACCTCTCCCTCTCCTTGTCTGGAACAGTCAAGTAATTTCCGGCCGTTGAGTCGCTTTTCCATTCTGACTTGTTCTTCCGCAACTCACAAGGTCGAAACTCCCTCTCAAGGTGTCGTGAGTTTTCTTTAAGTATTCTTTTTATTGTTAGGCATCATAAGTTTAATACTCTGGAGTTCTGATTTCTGCACTTTTTAAATTACTTAAAAATCTTTAAGGTTTTTATTTGTTTGTATTTAATTAATGCTTATTTCATCTGCCATGTTGATTTCCACGGTTGATAAATTTGTAAAAGTTTTACTTTTCATAAAAATTTAATTATAAAAAAGTATATAAAATTAATTCTGAAATGTAAATTCCCTCAAGGTGTCTTAAATTTTATTGTCCATAAAAAATTGATTATATTAAATTATTAAAGTATATATAATTAAATTTGCAACATTAATTCTACTTCATATATTGGTATCTATAATTTTCATTATGATGTTCAAATCATTTGTAATTTAAGTTAATTTGTTTGTTTTACTAAATTTAATCATATATTACAAATTTTGTATTGCTAAGTGTTAATGGTATACTTTTAGTATCATCTGCAAAATAAGATGTTCTTGCAATAAGGTACAATGTGTTTATGATGCATATGTTCGACTGGGCTTTCGAACACAGGTTTGAAGTAAAAGAAGTGGGACTACAAGGGAAATCATACAAGTTTGTGAGATGAACATATTGCAATATGTGAAATAATGGGAAAGAGTTACTCCAATAGGAGTCCTGACACATATATTTATAATAGAAGAGTTGCCAAAATACAAAGTATTCCTAAATAGATATTAGGCAGATTCCTAAATATCTATTAGGTAGATTCCTAATTATATTAGCCTATTACACCCCCTCAAACTGTGCGTGAGATACAACGCGCATGTTGTCTTTTAAAAAAATGAAATTGCAAACTAAAAAAAACTCTTAGTAAATATATCTGTGAGCGGAAGATTAGAAGGCACGTCTTTGACAATAAGATCTCCATGAGAATATATGTCTGCAGCAGCAAGCGGCGAACTCAACAGCGCGCTTGAAGCAAGCACCGTGGTCAGCGACGCAGAGAAGGTGGGTTGCGCGAACATAGGCAGCAGCAGGCGGCGAACTCAATGGCATGCTGGAAGCAAGCACCGTGTTCAGCGACGCGAAGGAGGTGATCTGCGCCATATTAGCCGCGCTCATCTTCAAAGGATCGGAGACTACCGTAAATGTGGCGGCAGTCGACCCCAAGGCGGCGGCGGCTATAATAAGGTTCATGGGAACCGAAAAAAGAAAAAAAATTGTATCTACAAACCTAGAGCTCTTGATACCATGTGAAATAATGGGAAAGAGGTACTCCAATAGGAGTCCTGACAGATATATTTATAATAGAAGAGTTGCCAAAATACAAAGTATTCCTAAATAGATATTAGGCAGATTCCTAAGTATCTATTAGGTAGATTCCTAATTATATTAGCCTATTACAATAAGCAAACGACATGAGGGATTAGTAGGTTTAAACATCACCATGGCTTCCATTACTTTGTGACATTATTGTTGATTTCTTTATGGAACGTATTATTTTGGATTAATATTTATTTTTGATTACTTCTATATTATACACAATTTTCCTATATGGTAAGATTTACGCCTCATTGTTATGCCTCAATCCGCCATGAGTTTTACACAATGCGCAATACCTAAAAAAAACGCCTCGTTCACGCATTAGGCAATTTCAAACATTGGTTTACATTTAAAATGTTGTTCTTGTACAACTCTTGACTATTTCTTATCATGCAATGTCACTATTTTATTTAAGCAATTCATACTGTTAATATTTTAGGCATGTGAAATTATCTTTCGGAACAAGGAAAGTAAACAGTGAACACTTGTTCTAGACAGGAGGGTTATTTGGTCATTTGACGTAATTCAGTCTTTTCATTCAGCACACTTAGTAAAAAATTTGTTATCTGAACGTTTTAATCCATTCAAGACTTCATGCAAAAAATAGCCTCTCTAACTCTCATTTTGGTCGTAATTATTATGTAGTAAGGATGTTTTTACTTGGACTGTAATTTTATGGTCTGGAACTTTGGCCTGAACTGGTTTGGCCTGGTCTGATAAATGTCTGGTCTCTGTGTATTTTATAACTGTCCAAGTTTGGTCTTGTTTGGTCTGGTCTGGTCTGGGACTGAAAACATTTCAAGTAAAAACATCCTAATATCAACCGCGTTCTGCTGACTTCCACAATTTTGACATCCGACGAAAGATATCAATTCTCCGCTGCTTATTTACCAATTTTAAGGTGTTTTATGAATAGTTACAAAGAATATGAGTATTTATGCCTATAAGCGTTAATGCTGCTTCTTATTTCTTTGGTTTGCAATATATTTTAATGACCAATTTTTAGGGTATTGGTGTTATGCTTATGTATATATATGCCTACGCAAGTAAATGCTGCTTCGTTTTTTTACTTGCTGATAAAGTGTTGCTGCCCTGGTTTTCTTTTCACATCTAAATGCAATTCCAAATTTTGTGTGGTTTGAAAACCCAATTATTCCATTATATCCAAATCCTCTGCATATGCTTCTATATATATTGACCCATACTCTACAAATCTACCGAGTTTTTTACATTTAGAATGGTAGACTTGATCTCTTCAGCTCTTTTTCATAGTGTTCCTTGATTTGTACCCATGTTAGTAAAATGATTTTTATAATGCTTCTGCAGAGAGTTTGGATTCATATATCTGCTAATCAGTTTTTAACTGGACAGGCCTATTTCTTAACATGCAACTAATTTTTTAATAGCAGGTTACTCGTGAAATCATTTCAGCCTTGCCTTTTTTATTAATCAAAGTTATTCCCATGCCACTAACCATTAAATGTATGATTTGAGTAGATTTATTTAATCACCCCTTTATTTATTAGCATATTATATGATACCGAATCAGGGCCGGCCCTGGACAAGGGCAGGCCAGGCTTGTGCCCCGGGCCCAACATTTACAGGGGCCCATAATTATATATAAATGGATAAATATAGAAAGGACAATTCATATCAGACCGAGCTCATTTGGGGCCCTTTATGGAGGAATTTTTTATGAAAGTTTTTTAGAGTATTTTTCATCAAGTGTAAATTACATTCACAAAAAATTTGTTTAAAAATCAACCGGGAAGTCAGTTAAATAAAATATTGAAACACACTGCACTTTGTGTATATAAATAATGCGCACTATCTTTCAATAATCTAATTAACTGACTTTCAAGTTAAATTTTAATCTGAAACTTTGTGGAGATATTATAGATTTCATGAAGAATATATTTAAAAAATTTCATGAAAAAATTCTATCGGGAAGGGCCTCAAATGGCCCCGATCTGACATCATTTCCCGTTAGGCAGGCCTAATTTCAAGGTTTCATCTTTGGACTTTAATACGTTTTGCTCAGCAATCAACACTCTGCTAATTTTCTCAAAAATATCTTCCAAATTTGAAATTTCAATTTCACAAGTAATTCTCTGCTTTTATTTTTTATTTTTTAGTATAATTTTTATTCGTTTAGTTTATATATTAAGATTTTGATGAAAGACATACATTACTTTGTATGTTGAAATTTGTGTATATAAAGTTAAACTTTTGGAATATATTTATATAACCTTTTAAGAACCTTCTTTTTTCAATCGCCCTGAGCCCATAAAATATCAGGACCGGCCCTGTACCGAATACCGTATACAAGGAAAAGAGAGTATTGTGTGTGTGGAATACGTTTTCTCAAATGACATTGTATTTTATTCCAAAATCGGATTATTATTTTTAGTTGTCTGACGATCAAACATGCTTTTGACCGCAAAGTCGGATTGTTTTTAGATCAACACAATTATAGATCACTTTCAAATTCTTACAATAAAAAAAATAATAAAACTCTCATTTTCAGATTGTGATGTTAACTCTATTGACCCAAACCCTAACCTTTATTTTATACGGAGTACCTCTTATCTGAATCCATACTCTGCCAGGCTTTCTCTCACTCGGATTTCAACCATGGAAATCGAGAATGTAACCTCTGATGTGATGATGGACCCATCTCCTGCTAGCAATCCAGGCAGCCTTCCAGTGAAGCCAAACTTCAAGCCACTCACAGCGCATGAAATTTCCGATGGGCAGGTGCAGTTCCGAAAAATTCCCGTGCCGTCGCATCGGTACACACCTTTGAAGAAAGCCTGGATGGACATCTACACCCCAATCTTTGAGCAGATGAAAGTCGACATACGTATGAATCTCAAGGCCCGTAGGGTGGAGCTAAAGACCCGACCCGACACCCCTGACATCAGCAACATCCAGAAGTCCGCCGACTTTGTGCACGCCTTCATGCTGGGCTTCGACATCTGCGACGCTGTTGCTCTTCTCCGGGTGGATGAGCTGTACGTTGATTCATTTGAGATCAAGGATGTGAAGACCCTCCGAGGGGAGCATTTGTCCAGGGCGATTGGAAGGTTATCTGGTAAAGGAGGAAAGACAAAGTTTGCTATTGAGAACTCGACGAAAACACGCATTGTGATTGCTGATACTAAGATTCATATACTAGGTTCTTTTACGAACATAAAGGTTGCAAGAGATTCACTTTGCAGTCTGATTATGGGCTCTCCTGCTGGGAAAGTGTATTCCAAGCTTAGAGCAGTCACCGCCCGTTTGGCTGAGAGGTTTTGATTAAATTATGGTGAATTTAACACATTTAAGTATTTTCTGAAATTTTGCAAGGGTTCACTAGGTGACATTCCTGCTTGTCTTGATATTGTATTCATTACAAAAGTGTAGCTGAATTAAGTGCCTTTTATCAGATTTGTGTTGGCCCCTGCCTCTGCTTAGCTTGTTCTTTCATGTTAAAGCATGATTTCCCAATTTCTTGTTTGAAAGAGACTTTCTGGGTTTACTTGCAATGTCAATGTCTGGTATTCAAAAATGAAAGACTGTAATCCTCCTACAATGTTTTGGTGAAAAGATTTCAAAAGGGTGAACTTCCATGTCATTCTTTTGAAGTAGGAATACTCATGTTACTCATGTTTCAGTTAAAAACTAGGGGTGGGATTTTGGAACCGGGAACCGTAGAACCGATTGGAACCGAACCGTTAACAACATATAGGAACCGAACCGTTAACAATTAATGCCTCATTTGTAGGAACCGAACCGAAGCGGGTTATAACGGTTCGGTTCCCGGTTCCTATAAAAAATATGTGCATGGAACCGTTAAGGAACCGTTATTAAAAAAAATAAAAAATAAAATAATATTAGTAGTAGTAGTAGTAACAATAATAATAATAATATAATAGCAATAATAACCACCACCACAACCACTATAATAAAACAATATAAGATATTTAACTAACAATTCTAATTTAATCAACGGAAAAGAAGTAATAAATATTGTACATGAGGTTGATATAATACATTAAACTCCTTTCTACAAATCAAGTTTTGTTCCATCACATAAATTTTATAAATATAAAATAACTCAAATAACTTGTAGTTGATTGCACATATTTTACTTTACTATTTTCATGATATTTCTAATTATTAGATTTATTATGAATCAATAGAATGTAATAATGTTTTTTTATATCTATACATGCAAACTTAATGTCTTTTTTTATGTTTTGAAAGACTTGAAGTAGGCGTCATATTCTTGCTACTATGATGATGAGTAACCTTCATCGCTCCGACACTACAACGATTTTTAATGTTTCATTTATTACATGAAAATTTAAATCACTTTTGTTATATTAAGTGTTCAAAGTTCATTAGTTAAGTTTGAGCTTTGATGTTTGAAGTGATTAGAGTTTCAAATAAAATTTTAATATTCGTGTTTTGAATTTTCGACGTGTTTATGTTGTTTGTAGAAAGTAAATTATGTGTTAATTCTAAGACGAGAAAAAATTATTCTAGGAACCGATAAAAGTAAGAACCGAACCGTTTACTACCGGTTCGGTTCCATAACGGTTCTTGATTTTTTATATAGGAACCGAACCGATTTCATTAGTTAAAACTTTTATAATGGTTCCACTTATTTTGAGTAAGAACCGAACCGGTCCCAGCCCTATTAAAAACTACGTATTAGCTTGTAAACTGTAGGTTTTGGCCCAAAACCACTTTTGGATCATCCTGGTAGCATTTTTAATTTTTCTAATTTTTTTACACCTTATTTTTTTCTCTTTCTTTCTTTTTGCCTTCCTTTTTGCTTTCTTCTTCAGCCTTACTTGACTCGCATCTTTGTCTTTCTTCTTCCTACCATTTTCTACTCCATGTATCTCCTCAAAATTAAAGATGTAGATGTTGAAAGATGCAAAGAGATGATGGTCTGTGCTCCGTGTTGCTACTATCGTGTTTCCCGTGTTGCTACTCATCTTTCAACATCTGTAGATGTTGAAAGATGCAAAGAGATGATGTAAGAGAGTATTCAACCCCCTGTGCCAATCTTTGTTTATGTTCTTGTGATTTTTGAGAGGTGCTTTGGCCCTTTGACGATTAGAACTTTGAGGCTATGTGAAGGAAGCAAGGAAGGAGTGGGGGGTGGAGAAGCTCTAGTAGTCGACAACTCATTTTGTCATAAGGTAGTTTCATCCCTCTTTACCCCAACCCTTGACCCCTTGGGTAAAAAAGGTAAAAAAAAAAAAGAAGAAGAAGAAAGAAAATAGAACAAGAAAGAAAAAGAATAAAAAGAAAAGGGTAAAAATAAATAAGAACAGGGTAAAAATAAATAAGAAAGGTAGTGTATAAGAAAATAGAAAACATTTAAAAAGCACACTCATTGACATCCACACAAGCCTTTAATCGAAAAACTTGTTATTTACTGCTAAATTGATTAATTGCACGTTTTTAAAGAGTGATGATTCATTTGGTTGATTCCGAAGTACAAGAATCTTATTAACGTTTTGGACATAATACGAGAACTTTTTTGACAATTTTTAGTTGTTTATTTGATACTAGTTTCAAAATCACGAGTGTTCACATGCATAAAATAGTGTGACTTATTTGACAAAATTTTTGACAAAATATTGAATTCAAAACGAATCAAATAAAACAAACTGTTTATTAAAATATAAAATATTACTCCGTATTTGTTAACCTTTAAACAATAAATCTAATGTCATTGATAGTTTGTTAACTTCTTGTGTTTACAAATTTAATGTTTTGCATTTTATATATTACGTTGTACAAATTTTTATTTAAGATGTTAAATTGTTGTATCTGTGATTTAGTTAAATTTATAAAATTCATTTACACCTTCATTCACTCCTACTCCGTATAATGTAATATTGGGGTTGCACGTTATACGTTGCAACGTATAACATTTGGTTGAAATTAAACCTTGAAGTTACCAAGCGATCGAGAAAAGAAAGCAAACTTATTTCATTAAATCTTACACATATTACAAACACCAAACACTCATATGGTAAAATTGAACTCTACAAATTACAAAGCACACAACAGGTACAACTGATGGGATCTTGATGACAAACTCAAGATCAGCAAAGCGTCAAAGTCTTATTCGTTCAAGAACGGGCATGCAGATTGATGCACTCAGTTTGATGGAGGCGGTGAAGAAAGAGTTGGAATGCCCGGAAAGTTTGGGACAAAGGTTGGCAGTGGGATGTTAGCAGGCAGGGGAGGGAGAGTGAGCTTTGGAGCAGTAGGCAAGGTTGTTGGGAGAGGAATGTTTGGCAATTTGAAAGCTGGTAAAGGTGGTAATAATGTAGCAGTTGGCATATTAGGAAGGGAAGGTATTTGTGGTGATGGTATGGCTGGTTGCGGCGTATAAGGAGTCGTAGCCATTGCCGGTTGGGGCGCACCGTCAGTTTGCATGAGACGGCGGGCTGTGGAGCTAGCCTCCATGCTTGCCAAGCACAATGCAATCACCAGAGAGAGGAGGAAGCACTTCTTGGCTGCGGCCATTTTTGGCTTAGGATTGAGTGCAGGTTTCTCGAAGCAGAATATATTCAAATACGTACTGATTTGAACTTTGGAGGTGAGATATGGACAATAACAAAGGGTAATAATGTATATATAGGGATTTGGGATGAGCGTATGCTATCTCAAATTGGCTGCTGCGTGTTTGACGGCCACTACTAAATTTGACCAGTTGAGTACTCTTTTTGTATAGCAGGTGTAGAAGCTGAACAAACAAGTACTTAGTCACGCCTTGTTCACCCACATTTCAGCTACTTGTTCAAAATCTTCTCTACCTTGGAGGCTTGCAGCTATGGTAACAATAATGTGCATTATAAATTTATAAAGGAAGAAGCAAAGATTGACATTTGAAAGGGCATAATACACTACAAAAAAACACGGTGTTAGTCACGGACTTAGTCACGGACCGTAGTATAAAAAATCCGTGACTAACTCTGCTAGTCACGGACTTTGTCCGTGACTAAATCCGTGACTGTTTGGGCGTGACTAATTCTAGTCACGGTCATTTTATCCGTGACTTAGCGTAGTCACGGCTTAGTCACGGACCATTTCCGTGACTAACTTGTCACCGGAATAATCACACCGGCGACTTAGTCACGGGAAAGGCCGTGACTAAATATAGTCACGGACTAAATCCGTGACTAAATTTTCAAATTTTAAAAAAAAAAACCGCCGAATGTTACTGTTTAAATTTTCAAATTTCAAATTTTAGTCACGGACTTCAGCCGTGACTACTTTTTTTTTAAAAAAAAAATTAAAAAATAAATTTTCAAAAATAACTTTTTTAAAAATCGGTCTACAATTTAGTCACGGCTCGGATCCGTGACTAAAGTTTTTTATTTTTAAAAAAAAAATTTTTTTTTATAAAAAAAATAATTTTTTTTTTAATTATACTTTAGAAAAGTTTATTTTAAAAAATATTTGCATTCATAAAAGTAATAAATGTTCACATTTCATAAGAATGAAAAAAACACAATAGAACACACATTTCATAACCAAACAGACTGAAATAAAAGTAATAATAAGCACAATAGAATTATAGTAAATAAACAATGTTCAAATAAAAATGTATATCATTTACAAGTTCCTCCGATTACCATTATGATAATATCTAGAATCATCATATAGATAATCTTCTTCGGTCTCATCTTCTCGGTTGGCTCCAGCTTGGCCTTCTCGATTGCCACCGCGACTGCCTCCTCCGCGACTACCACCTCCGCGACTGCCACCTGCTTGGCTGCCTCCAGATGTTTGAAACAGGTTGTGAAAATTGATATCCTGAATAGAACCAAATGAAGGCAACCCGGGTAGCAGAGTTGGTACGGAAATAACCGCCCATGTGCGGAACTTGAGGTGTCTGCTCAGGGTGCAGTACATACGGCTGAGGCTGAGGCTGATTCCGAATTCCGGCGCTGAGGATCCGTTCCATCTCTTCCAGCCGGGCCCTTGTTTCTTCATCTTTTTTGCGTTGCTCCTCCAAGGTGCGCTGCTGCTCAGCCAAGGCCCGCTGCTGCTCCTCCATCTCCCGCTGCATTTGAGCGATACGCGGATCCTCTCCGCGCCTTGATCGGGAAGATGAAGCACCGCTGCGGTCGTACAAGATCCGTTGCCCCTCAGCCCCCATGCACGGGACCCGGCCCTTGTACACCCCAACTGCCTCAAAGATGGCATCATCCTCCACATCAGAATCAATCTCATCCTCCTGAGTCAAGCCTAATTCTGCCCGCCTCTTCTCAACATTTGTGTTATACTTTGACTACATGTACAAAAATTGTTAATTTAATGTTACTCAATTTGATTTTGAATGGAAATAAGTAACAAAATAGTGTTACTTACTTCAATTTCAGCGAGGCGGGGTGGCAGATCGGCATCGGACTCATCGCCGTGCTTTGTCCAGCAGTGCTTGATGACCTTGAGAATTGAGACCTTCTTCTTCTCAGGCCCCGACTACAGTTTGGAAAAAAGGCTTAAGATCCATAATTAATTGTTAAAATAAAGGGTTGTAATTGTGTAAGGTTTTTTGAAAAATACTTACAAGATCTTCTTTATGTCTACTCTGAGGTTTGCGGCCCCCATGCCATTGGGTTTCTAAAGCCTTCTCGGACATCCGGTTTTTCTTACCGGATTGACTTCTTGCCAAGAAGTTTGGATCAGAAGACCAGTGACGGACGAGGTTATCCCACACCTCATCCGAACACCATCCAGGCTTTACCCCGCTCTTTCGGGCACGCTTAAAAGTAGGACGAAGCCAGTTTGAAATCCTAGCGTTATACGCTCTAAGAATAGCGGGACCTTGGGCTTCAGTCCATCGAAACCGACCCTTTATAAAAAACAAATAAATTAATTTATCTTTTATTAAATGTTACGTTAATACAATTACGCAGAGAAAATTCATTTTTTTTACCTTGAAAAGGTTCCACCAAAGTTCACGAACCTTGGGGTCAACTTCCGTGTATGCTGCCCAGTTCCCAAGAAAGTGTCCTCCGATTATTAGTTTGATTTGGTCCAACACTTCTTGATCGCTTCAGAAAATTAATATTATTTATTTATAAAAGTTTTGATAACATTATGATACATTGAAAAAATTATTTCACGTTAGATAAAATTCATAGTTACTTACTTCGCAACCATGTGGGGCGTCACCCAAAGCGCATTTTCATTGTTGCGCTCAGCTTCGGTTAAGGGCACATAGTTTGGGCGGGGACGGGAGGTTGATTGTTCATTGCTCATCTAAAATATATTAATTTATATTTTTAAATGTTAGTGTAGTTATAATAAACGTGTATAACATATTAAACTGTGTATAAGTCTAATATGAGAAGTCGATATTTTTTCAATTAATTTTTTTATAACTTTGATACAATACATTTGCAATTGATTGGTCTTTAAGGTAACATATTAAACTGTGTATAAGTCTAATATGAGGGGTCGATATATTTTCAAACTGTTTTAATTAAACTGTTTTTTATTAAATTGGTTTTTATCAAACTGTTTTTTATTTAATTGATTTTTATCAAACTGTTTTTTTTATTAAACTGTTTTTTATAGAACAGTTTTTTATTAAACTGTTTAATACAAAAACAATATATTATTAAACTTTTTTTTAAAATCTATATTTTACAATTTATTTTCGTACATGAGGGAACATAAGTTTATTTTCGTACATGTTAAAAAATATTTTTTTTTGCATTTTCGTACTATTTTTTAACTTTTCGTACTATGTTATATAAAACCGTTTATATACAAAACCGTTTTTATACAAAACTGTTTTATATAAAAAAGTTTTATAAAAACAGTTTTATATAAACAGTTTTATTAAAATCTGTTTTTTTATTACTTCACTTTTTAATAAAAATTGTTGAATAAAAAAACTGTTTTTCATAAAAAATGAAAAAAAAATTGTTTTAAACTTTAAAAATGATTATTATTTCACTTTTTAATAAAAAAAGTTTTTATTAAACGGTTTAAAAATAAGTTATCTATTAAACTGTTTTTATAATCTATATTTTATATTTTATTTTGGAAAGCAGTTTTTATTGTTTTTTATTAAAATCTGATTTTATTTGATTGCAATCTGTTAATATTATACTGTTTTTTAAACTGTTTTTTATTAAATTGTTTTTTATCAAACTGTTTTATTTTAAACTGTTTTTTTTGTCAAACTGTTTTTTATTAAACTGTTTAATAAAAAACAGTATATTATTAAACTGTTTCTTATAATATATATTTTATATTTTATTTCGGAAAATAGTTTTTAATGTCTAAATTAATATTTTATAATTAACATGTTAAACTTTTTTGGAAGTTTAACATGAGGGGGTATTTTTTAAATAATTTGGAAATAATAAATTTGATTGATGATAAAATAATAATAATCCTAACAATGTCTAAATAATTCATGCATAAGTCCGAAATTAAATCATGCATATTAAACTTGTACAAAAAAAATAAAATTGAATCAAACTATATCTAAAGCATGTGTATTACAAATCAAACAAAAAAGAAAAAATATATTTTATCATCTTTGAGCATGCAAATTAATATTGTAATTCGAAATTAAAACAAAACTAATAAAAGGGAGAGATTAATATTGAGCATGCAAATAAATCTCGGTTGTAATGTGAAATTAATATTGTAATCCGAACATAATAATAACATGCATTTGTGTGTATAAACGTAACAACATATACACATATAATCATATTAAATGTATATACACATAAATATGTAGTTGTAGAATATATCATTAATTAGGCATTCAATGTTCAATAATGCATAGGAGCATATAAACATGCATATGAGTACATAAACATGCATTTGTGAGTAAAAAATTAATTGAGAAAACATAACCTTGATATGGAGAGAGGTGCGAAAAAAGAGAAGTGGTGGACGACGGCAGCGGACGGCGGCAACCGGCGGCGGACAACGGCAGTGCACGGAGGACAGCGGCGGCGCTGGACTCTGGACGGCGGCGGCGCTGGAGTCTGGACGGCGGCGGTGGAAGGGGAAGTTAGAAGGGAGAGAGTTTGAGAGGAAAATAGGGTTTGGAAGCGTAGGAATGAAAAAATTCGCTAAGTGTTGATTTTATATATCGGTGTAGTCACGGTCGTAGTCACGGCTTTATCCGTGACTAAACCCTTCGTAATCAACGAAATCAGCCACGCGGCATCAGCCGCCTTTGACCGGTTTAGTCACGGTTTTATCCGTGACTAAGACCGTGTCTAATTCAAATTTTGAATTTAGTCACGGTCCTAGTCACGGTAAAAACCGTGACTAGACCGGCGGCCCTGACACTTCTCCGGCTGCCAGACTGACATGTTAGTCACGGAATTATCCGTGACTAAGACCGTGACAACGTGAAATTTTTTAGTATAAATCATCTTTCTCCGGCCCAAGACTGGACTGTAAAAAAAATGGATAATACAGGTCCAATTGACTGGGATTCGATGTGTAGAGGTATGAAACGACTTAAGCTGATTACACAGCTTATGGAGCCGAAAACCGTGGAAGCATACGAGAGAATCAAGGAGTTGATGTCTAGACCCCTTGAAAGTTTTGGCGATTATAAAG